AAAAAAAAAAAAGAAATTCTTATCCATGAAGTCTGGAAAATCCTTGTACTTGGGCTCCCTGATAACCAGTGATGGGGAAGACTTGCTCAGAGCCAGACAGTCACCCAGCCAACACCGCCTCATGACTTTTGGAAAAGGATCTTTGAGTCCTGGACCTCTGGGGGCAGTTGTGGTAAGAGGGAGATGTCCTCAGCGGGGGCACACCACTGGTGTGTGTAAGGCACTCATCATGTGGCTTGGCAGAGGACAGCTTGGAGGAATGGTCTGGTTTCTTAGCCAGAGCTACTCCACTGAAGTGATGGTAGTAGGGGCCAGGGAGCCCCACCTGGGTGGTCTTTCTCCATCTCTCCATCCCAGGAAGCCTGGAAACACAGAACTGCAGGCACCTTAGGACACACGGTTAAGTGCACCAGGCTAATGATAACCCTGACAATTGCAAACATGTTCAGTCAGCAGGAGGCCCTGCTGTATGTGGAGCAGCTAGTGCTAGTTCCTTTAATCCTCCCCACAACCTCAATTGTGCAGAATTCTCAGATTATGCCCATTCTACAGGTTCACTCAGCAAAGGCTGAGAAATGCCTACATTCCAGACACCACTTCTGGCACTTAAGTCTTCAACAGATTTAAGATTAAAGATCCTTGAGTTAACATTGGGAGGAAGGAAAGAAAACAGAAATAGAAAATGTAGGCTGGCCACAGTGGCATACACTTGTAATCCTAGCACTCTGGGAGGCCAAGGCAGGAGGATCACTTGAACTCAGCTGTTGGGAACCAGACTGAGAAAGATGGAGACCCATCCCTACTAAAACTAGAAAAATTAGCCAGGGTCATGGTAGGTGCCTGTAGTCCCAGCTACTTGGGAGGCTGAGGCAGGAGGATGGCTTGAGTCCAGGAGTTTGAGGTTGCTGTAAGCTAGGCTGTCACCATGTCACTCTAGCTTGGACAACAGATTGCAACTCCTATGTCTCCAAAAAAAGAAAAAGAAAAGAAAAAGTTACTGCAATCATCCAGATGGAGAAACTGAGGCACGGAAAGATTAAACTAGCTGAGCTAGCAGGTAGCACCATGAAGATCTGAATGCAGGTGCTCTGACTGATTCAAGCTGCTGCACTTGGCTGTGACCCCTCTGGTCTCGGGGACCCACAAGGCCTTGCCCTGGACCTAGGAGCTGTTGTGCTTGTCTCCTTACAGGGCACTCGACCCAGGGCCGGGCGGCTTTGGATATCGTGCACCCAGTGCGCGTGGACGCGGGAGGCTCCTTCTTGTCCTACGAGCTGTGGCCCCGCACGCTGCGAAAGCGAGACGTGTCCACGCGCTACGACGTTCCCACCTTCTATGAGTTGCAGTACCGCGGGCGCGAGCTGCGCTTCAACCTGACCGCCAACTCTCACCTGCTGGCGCCCGGCTTTGTGAGCGAGACGCGGCGGCGCGGAGGCCTGGGCCGAGCGCACATCCGGGCCCGCACCTCTGCCTGCCACCTGCTCGGGGAAGTGCAGGATCCGGAGCTCGAGGGCGGCCTGGCGGCCATCAGTGCCTGTGATGGCCTGGTGAGTGCGCCTGGAGGGTGCGCAGGCAGGGGTGGGGGGTGGCAGGATGGTGGCCACTAGCCTTGCCTGTGTGCTTGTCCTCTGCCCATCTGGGTATTATCTCCTATAAAATGGGAGTGATCCCGTAGGCTTTGGTAGATTGCAGCTTTTGACAGGGTATTCCTGGGTTAGTGCCCAAACACTTGGATTTCTGAAAAATTTCCAGGTAACACTAAAGCTGCAGGTCCAGAGATCCCACTCAGAACTGCTGTTTGGACTAAGTAACTTGGAGATAGTTGAGCCCCTTCCTTTAGGGTGTCAGGACCATTCCTTCACAGACCCCTTTAGGCTGCACCTCTCCAGGACAGGCACCCCTTTCTCTTTAGCCTGCTGGGGATGGTGTGAAACCCCTCCCAGTGCCTCTGCCCACATCAGAGCTTCCCAACTTTGTCTGGGGTCTGCCCGCAGCCCTAATTGCCACCCTGATCATGTGTGGGTTAGAGCAGCTCCCACCAGGGCAGGGTGAGGCCCTTTTCTGTGCCTGTTGAGGTGACCATTGCTGCCTACCCAGCTTTGAAGGACCAGAGTGTGGGAGGAGTGGGGGATGTGTGCACACTCAGCCACCCACTATTCCTGCTCGTGGAGGGCCCTGGGCTTAAAGCCTTCAGACAAAAGCCGTGGGCTGTGGTGGTGCATGGCCTGATGGCAGGGCAGCCTGAACCACAGGCTGTGGAACGTCTGGGCCTTTGAAGGCCCATCTTCTCAGCAAAGTGTTCTCATTTATGGATGAGAATAAATGTAATCGTTCCCATGTTACATAGACTCAGAGGAGAATGTGCCCAAGGTCATCTAGTTAGTTAGCCAGTGGGGGAGTCTGCATTTAGATCCTGGAGCAGATGCAGGGAGCAATCCAGGCCCCTTGGATTGTGACCCAAGGGGCAGAATTAGTGCCAATGAGGGGAAGTCTGAGGAAGGTAAACCTTTTTCCCTGTTGGTGTCCTGAGTTTCCTCAGGAGGTGGCGGGCTGCCCGAAGATACTTCCCAAGCCCCTCTCTTTCCTGGACTCTCTGAATGCCAGTGGATATGCCCAAGACACCCCTGCCAGTTTCCCTTCTCTGGCCGGCCTTAGGCCCAGGGAACAGGATGTCCTGATGGCCATGGGCATCTCTTTGGCCTGGGTGTGGACCAAGCTGCCTTTGGAGTGATTCATCACACAAGGAGACTGAGGGCAGGTCAGAAGCTGGCCAGCTAGGAGGGGGCACAGTGGCTGGAGATGGCTGTCATGCAAAGGAGATGCAAAATAGCCTGGACTTAGAATGGCTGCCTGGGACTCTACCGATGAGCCCATTTTGTCATATCTGGATGCAGACCCATTTCTTACTCCTGATGGGGTGGGTGTGTGGAAAAGCATTTGGGGGCAGTGGCTTCTGAGCTCTACTTTGAAGCCTTCGCCTGTGTGAAATGGAAGGGTAGGATATTCCAGGCAGAGGGTGCAGTGTGAGCAAAGGCCTCAGACCAGTCAGCGGTGGTGGGCACAGTGTGGGCTCAGAGGCAGGACGGGCCTTGGGATGGGTGGGCAGAGCAGCTGAGAGTCAGCCCTCTCTGTGTGGCCCCGGTGCTTCTTCCCCAGAAAGGTGTATTCCAGCTCTCCAGCGAGGACTACTTCATTGAGCCCCTGGAAGGTGTTCCTGCACGGCCTGGCCACGCCCAGCCCCATGTGGTGTATAAGCGCCAAGCACCCGAGAGGCCGGCACAGAGAGGGGATTCTGGCACTCCAGGCACCTGTGGGGTGCAAGGTATGCTTCTCTGCTGCCAGTTCCAGTGCAGGGAATGGGCTTAGGATATCCAGAGCCCTTTCTAGAAGCCCCTTTCAACATCCCTATGTTCAACTCTATGTTCAGTACCAGAGGGAAACAGATGGACAAACAGACAGACACGTTACCATAGCCTGTGACCTTAAATGTGCCACGAGCTATGTCCTCTGCCTGTCAGGTGTGCCCCAGGCAATGCCAGGGCTGCCCTCCCTCACTCCCACCTCACCAGCTTCCCCACCTCAGGGTTCCATCCTCCTCTGCTCCTCCCCACCTTTGCCTGTGGCACCTCTGACTCTATTACATTCTTCCTGCTGTGTCTAGGCCCAGCAGGGCCATTGGCTAGGATCCCTCTTTCTCCCTACCCTGCTCCCATGCAGAGTAATTGACCTCTGTGGTTGAGAGCTGGAGCGTGATATCCAGCGCCTCCCCTGGAGATGGCAGTAGTGGTCCCGGTGAGGAGCTTCCCACTAAGAGTTGCTGGGGTTTGGGGACTACTCCAGCCTCAGGCTGCCCACAGCTCAGGGGCTCTGTTTGCTGAGCAGATCCCCAGGGAGGCATGCTTGTTGGCCTCAGTTTCTCCAGCTTCACAGATGTACTTCCTCTTCTTGGGGGATCAGAGGGCAAGCCCCAGGCTGGACCTTGGCGAGCCTCCCAGCCTGGTGGTTGGACTATGGGGTCTGCATGTGCTGGGATTCACTAACTCCCAGTGGGGGAGGGAATGACATAGGGCCTGCTACAGGCGCTATCAGACCTGGAAGCTCTCCTCACACAGACATGGTCCTTTACTATGTTTATACCCAGCATCTCATTTGCCTCCGGAGGTCACCCTATGAGGGAGATCAGCTTATTCCTGTTTATCGTTGTGGATCCCAAGATCAGAGAAAAAAAGTGACTGGGCCAAGGCCACACAGCTAGGTCTGGAGCATCCATGCTCCTCACCTCTGGTCCCAGGGCAGTTCCTGTTGCTCCAGACGGGGCTTGGTGAGGAGAGGGTGTGTGCCCAGGGCCAGTCCATTGGTGGCTAAATCTCCTGTCTGGGGCCCACAGCATCCTTGGACCTGGAGTCTCGACGGGAGCGTTGGGAACAGCGGCAGCAATGGCAGCAGCAGAGGTCAAGGCGTCTATACCAGCGCTCAGTCAGCAAGGAGAAGTGGGTAGAGACCCTGGTGGTTGCTGATGCCAAAATGGTAGAGTACCATGGGCAGCCACAAGTTGAGAGTTATGTGCTGACCATCATGAACATGGTGAGGCTGCTGTAGGTGGCAGGTAACAGGTGTGGGAGGGACCGCAAGGGCTGGTGTTGGGGGGTGGGCTACCAGGGCTGGGTGCAGAGCAGGAAGGCTATTAGGTTGAACCTCACACCTAGGTCAGGCCCCAGCTAGGAAGGAGAGACTTGAAGCTCCTGAGTCCAGGAGGGGGTTGCTGGCTGGGCATGTCTAAGAGAGAACCTGGGCAGAGGGTTCACCACACTGGCTCAAATTTGGGAGAGGGAGACAGAGACAGAAGGAGAGGCCAAGGCAGCCAGTCCCCGTGCCTGCAGGGAGCTCACAGTTTAGTTGGCTCATTCATTCATTTGTGTTAGTACCTGTGCTAGATGCTGAAGACACAGAAATGCCAATCTGACCAGCCCCTGCCCAAGACAGCCACACACGTTAGAGTCAGAAGGATCTGTAGAGCTCTACTACGTACTGGCCCGTGGCCTTGGGCAAGTCACTTTTCTTGTCTGAGCCTCACCTTGCTCACGGGTGAACTAGACATGATGATGGTACTTTGTGGGGTTGGCAAACTGTTCTTGACCCCATGTGACTGTTGAGATAACAGAGGTTTGAGAGGGTAGGTGACCTGCTTAGGTCATACAAGGCAGGGCAGTGCTGTATGGGAGGCCATGTCTCCTCAGCCCACTCGGGGTACTGTGCCTGATTGGAGCTGACAGCAGAGCCCTGGGTGTGCAGGTAGGAGGCCTCAGGCTGCTAAGCTGCTGCCCACAGCCCTCTGGGAGAACATGTCTTTGTTGCATTCTTGGCAGGCTTCCTGGTTGGCAGGCCACTGCCCAACCCTGTCTCTCTTCTGGGCTGGGTCGTTGGGGCAAGGTAACGGCATGTGTTCTATGGCAGAATGACATCTAAGGGAGTCTTATGTGCTGCTTGTCCACAGACCAGCAGTTCATCTCCTGAAACCCTGGAGGAAGGACCCTGTGAGGTCATCTGGTATCTTGCCCCCTAGGTCCCCCCCTGAAGCTCAGGTTCATACAGAAGAGAGGGCTCTGTCCATGGCTGTTCCCCCACTTGCTGGCATCACACCCCCACTGTTAAGTCCTTCTTGACAAGCACAGCTCTGGGCCAGGTCTCCCTGACTTTATTCCCTTCTTGGCTCCCTGCTCCATTGGAATAAAAATTATAGCCTTGTGCCAGGCCTTGAAGGTCCAGCTCAAGCCTCTCTGCTTAGCCCCATCTGCCTAGGGAGGGCAACCACTTAAGGCCAGGCTTTAGGAGGGATGATTGCAGGATAACAGGGGCTGGCACCTGGGCTGGGAGGGTGGGGCAAGGCGAGATGTCTAGGCCCTGAAGTCCTCTCATTCCCATTCTCAGCCTGAAAGACCCAAGAACGTGGCTGGAGCCATGTTGAATAAGTTTGTTGAATAAGTTTGGCTTCACAGGGTTAAAAAAAGTAAAAGAGACCTTTTTGCTATAGGACTTCTCAGTCCTCACTGAGCTTGTGGTCCAGCCACGGAGACAGACATAAAACTGTCACCTTGATGACTATGAGTGTACAATGGGGGGAAGAGCAAGGAAGGACAAGTTCATAGTGCGTTGGGAGTGTGGAGTAGAAGAAAGGCTCCTCACAAGACACAGTGGAAGGCCGAGAGCTGGAGAGAGGGGAGGAGACAACTTGGGGAAGAAGTGTGGAAAACTGCTCTGGTCCAGGAGCACAGCACCCACATAGGCCCCATGTTGAGAAGAATCACAGGATGCAAGAAAGTCTGAGAGGTTGGAGCCAGGGAGCCAAGAGGTCTGGAGGGATAGGGGTGGCCAGAGAAGGGAGCAAGAGCCAGACCAAAGAGGCCTGCTGCCTGGGTGGAGGACTTTTGTCCCTCCCCTGTGGACAGTGAAGGAACCACCTATCGCTTTAAGCAAAGGCATGGTATCCTTGGGTTTGCATTTCAAAGACAGATGACTTGAACTAATAGGCTGCAGGTGGCCTAGAGGGGCCGCAAAATATGGGGTCTTTCAGAGAAGACCGTAACTGCTAACCAGACAAGAGGTAATATATAGCCTTGGACTTGGCAGTGGTGTTGGGGATGAAGGGAAGAGACAGATTCAAGTAAAACTAGGAGGCAAAATTGTTTGGCTGTGGAGGGGAAAGTAATAAAGAGGTTCTGAGCCTTCCAGCACATTGCATCACTGTTTAGCATCACCATCTCTGACCTCACGTCTGAAAGTGCAGCTCATCCCCATTACCAGTGTTTCAGCCTTTTAACAGTGTTTGTTTTGTCTATTCCTATTTAAATATTAGTTTTCTAGGCTGGGTGCAGTGGTTCACACCTGTAATCCTAGCACTCTAGGAGGCCGAGGCAGGTTGATTGCCTGAGCTCAGCCTGACAAAGAGTGAGACCCTGTCTCTACTAAGAATAGAAAAGTTGAGGCAAGAGGATCACTTGAGCCCACGAGCTTGAGAATGCTGTGAGCTATGATGCCATAGCATTCTACTCAGGGCGACAGAATGGGACTGTCTCAAAAAAAAAAATCCCAAATATATATATGTATATATATACAAAAACACACACACATATTTTTTATATATACATAGATATTTTATATATATAAAAAACAAATATATATAAATATATATACATATATATTTGTTTATGTATATATATAAAACAGTATGTGTATATATATTTGTTTTATATATATATATAAAATTTTTCTTTATATACTTCTGGAAGTCAACTCTTAACTGATCTGTCCTGCCATCTCTGCCCATGGGTAACCTGACAGCTATCCCTGGTTGTGGGCTGGCCTCATTTTTGTTCTGAGGGAGTTTTAAAAGAGAAGCTACCTCTCCCCCCCATTTCCCTGTGCCTTGGTATACCTTCCATCCCTGGGGGTAGCTGTCTTTCCTGGAACTCTGTAGAGAGCCCCCATGTAGCCAGATGTGCACACCTGTCCCCTTGGCCACATGGCTGTCAGCCCCAGGGAGGATGGGACAGCACAGCAGTGGGGAGCCTCAAGTGGCCTGTGCCTGCCCCACCCCACCTCCTTTCAGGTTCCACCCTGGTCTTATGCCTCAGGGAGGGATCACCTTGAGGGTGCTGGTCCTGACATCCCCAGGGTAGGAGGGGCTGCCGGGGCAACCCTGTGTGGGCAGTTAGCAGGAGTGGGGCCCTGAGATGGGCCAAGAAGCCAGCACTGGGCAGTCAGAGCTGGGTGCGTGTGGCACTTGCAAACATACTCCACACCAGTGCTCAGGAAGGCCTTACTTGGTCCTAAGAGGGGCCTCAGAGGCTTTGTCCCCCCCCCCGCCCCAGGTTTTGCCCTTGCTGGGTTGAGGCACCACACGTGCAGATGTGGGGACACACATCGCTGCATGGGCACCATGTTGGTGTGCAGCCTGTGTGCCTCATGTGAGCTTCCTGTGTGAGCATGGGTGTGCATTCCCTGGGTGGGCTGTCCATATCCTATGTCCTTCTTTTTTTTTTTTTTTTTTTTTTTTGAGACAGAGCCTCAAGCTGTCCCCCTGGGTAGAGTGCCGTGGCATTACAGCTCACAGCAACCTCCAACTCCTGGGCTCAAGCGAGTCTCCTGCCTCCGCCTCCCAAGTAGCTGGGACCACAGGCGCCCGCCACAACACCCGGCTATTTTTTGGTTGCAGCCGTCATTGTTGTTTGGCGGGTCCGGGCTGGGGATTCGAACCCGCCACCTTAGGTGTATGTGGCTGGCGCCTTAGCCGGTTGAGCTATAGGCGCCGAGCCCCTATGTCCTTCTTATAGCCTGATCCCCATCTCTTGGACAGGTGGCTGGCCTGTTTCATGACCCAAGCATTGGGAACCCTATCCACATCACTGTTGTGCGCCTGGTCCTGCTGGAGGATGAGGAGGTGAGAGGCCTGTGGCCCCATCCACCCCTGCAGTGGGCATCAGCTGCCAGAGCCCTCCTGCCATTGCCTGAGCTGCTCTGTATGAAAAGGCATAGTGGCAGCCTCCTTGACCTGAACAGTGTCTTCTGACACCCCCTCCAACTGGGTCTCTCTCAGGTCTCAGGTCCTTCCTAGGAGGTGCCTGTGGGAGGGGTGGTCAGATGGGAGGATGGACTGCAGCCGCAGGCCTGCTGCCTGTCCTGCACTGCCGCTCTAGGCCTCTGTTTACTGCCTTCCTGGGGAGAAAAATTGGGTCTGACTCTTTCGGAGCCCAGGAGAAGCATGAGCGACTCTATCTGCCTGCAGGAGGACCTAAAGATCACACACCATGCTGATAACACCCTGCGGAGCTTCTGCAAATGGCAGAAAAGCATCAACATGAAGGGAGACACCCACCCCCTGCACCACGACACTGCCATCCTGCTCACCAGGTGCCCAGTCGGGAGAGGCAGGCTCAAGGACAGGAGAGCCACGCCTGGGGTGGTGCTCCCTGGCCCTGGGGTAGAAGCGCAGGTTGGGGGACACAGCCTGTTCTCGGGGAGACCCATTGTGAAGAGAATTTGCATAGCTTTGTTACGAGGCTGGATTCCACAATCCTTTGGAGGGGGGTTCTTGTTTATTTTGAAATAATGAAATATTTGTGGATTCTCACAAAGTTGTCAGAAATAGCACAGAGGCCCCACGTGCCCTTGCTCCATTTCTCCCAGTAGTGACATCTCCCAGTATCCTAGCCAGTAACTTGGTTTTGATTCAATTGCAGACTTGCTCAGCTCTCACCCGTTCTCTGTGTGCGTGCGTGCATGTGTGTACTGCATGCATGTGTGCTCACATTCAGTTTCGCGCAGTTTTATCCCTTGTATAGTCAAACATTTACCCTCGCAGTCTGGATACGGAGCAGGTCTGTAAGAAGCACACCTCATGCTGCCTGAGAGTCACAGCCACCTAACCACACCCCTTTTTCCCCATCTCTGGCAACACTGTTCACAGGCAGAGTTACTGGCCCTCTGCTGGGCACCCTCATCAGGACAGTGACCAGCATTGTTCTGTGCACAAGGCTTCTTCCCAGGCCCAAATGGAGCCCAGTGTGCTGTGTGTGAATGAGGGCACCCACTTCCCCAGATGGCCACTGTGCCAGCCTGACATCACAGAGTGTAGGACGAAGTATCCTTCTTACTGTGGGTCAGTGGAGGCCCTTCCCTGGTCTCCTCAGCTCCGATAGACCTGGAGCTGGTCAGGGTAGACTAACGGCCACTTTTCTCTACCTGTGCAGGAAGGACCTGTGTGCAGCCATGAACCGGCCTTGCGAGACTCTGGGCCTGTCCCACGTGGCAGGCATGTGCCAGCCGCACCGCAGCTGCAACATCAACGAGGACACAGGCCTGCCGCTGGCCTTCACTGTGGCCCACGAGCTTGGGCACAGGTACTATGCCTGCCCTCACTGCCATGCCAAGAGCCTGGCTTCACCCTCCCCACCTGGGGGCACTGGGCAGCCAGCCCGTGGGGTCACAAAATCCCAGGAAAGGAAACTCTGGGGAAGGAGTTCCATCTTGATCTGGCCACACACTGCCCCTGCGCTCTCCCCACCCACAGCCAGGCTGCTTCACTGTCAAGCAGGAGAGAGACCTGCCAGGGCACCTCTGGGACTAGCCTAGAGTGAGCTCTGTGTGAGGGGGGTTAGGATGGGACAGGAAGTCATTGTAGGTCCTTGGCTATCTCACCCCAGTGCCCTTAGCACTTGTATGTTTCACTCTTGGTCCCTATTCCATCTCGGTCCCTATTTCATCCCTCTCCTGCTTGCTATGTGACCTTGGGCCAGTTCACTGCCTTCTCTTGGCCTCTTGAGTGCTTCCTATAGATTGAGAGGGTTGGATTCAGTCATGTCCAAAGCTCTCTCTGACTGATACTGCTCCCTGGGGCCTTCACGTCTGAGCGTGGCTCCTGCCTCAAACACCTGTGCCCACCCTGTTTTTCTGGTGAATATGGCAGCATCTTACATTGTCCAGCAAGCTGACAAAGGCAGGTTCTCAGAGAGCCTGGTCAGAGGTGTTGAGGTCATCCATTCAGATGTATGGGTTCCCTGGGTGATGGCCATTCCTGTGGGTTCCTGAAGTTGCTCATGGCAATAGAAGGATTCACTTTGCCACATTCTGCCATATCCTGGTTGTGTTCTCCGGGCTAGTTCCTTGGCCTCTTGGAGCCTCTCTGGGGATAATCATGAAGTGAATGAGACAGCGTTTCTGAACATGCTCAGCATGGTGCCGGGCACCACTGTTCTCTTCCTGTCCTTCCTGAGGATGATTTCTTGGGCCTTTTTCGTGATGCAGCAGTTCATCTCCCTTCACTCCAGCGCACAGCCTTGGGATAGGAGCTGTGTGTAGGTGGGGACCCCTGTTGGACTGCTCTTAAGTCAGTGAGGTTGCAGGGGTCGGGTTGGGCCAGCCCCTGGGCAAGAGAGGGCTGCTCTGAGTCCTGGCTCTCACTTTTGGCTCAGGTGGGTGCACCTGGAAGTGGACCCCCTCAGGACACTAGCTGTCATACCTGCATTTTGCATTGAGGAAACTGAGGCTTGGAGAGGGCATGTGACTTTCTCAAAGCCATAGCCATTTGATAGCAGAGCTGGCTCTGGGAATTAAGACTGTATACCTCATAGGTCTCTGGGGGAGGGGCAGGCTGACAGCTCCCTCCGGCTCACCTGCCCCTGGGGCCTGTGCTCTCACACAGTTTTGGCATTCAGCATGACGGAAGCGGCAATGACTGTGAGCCTGTTGGGAAACGGCCTTTCATCATGTCTCCACAGCTCCTGTACGACGCTGCTCCCCTCACCTGGTCCCGCTGCAGCCGAGAGTACATCACCAGGTTCCTTGAGTAAGTCCCTCGCCCAGCCTGGGGCACCCGCACTTTATGTGAGGTCATGGTCCAAGGGGAAGATGCAGTGTCATTGCAGTGTTGGGTAGAGGGATGTTAGAGGGGTACCTGATAAAGATGTGGGGCTGGGTTCCTAATTGTCCTCCTGGAAGAGACAGCTGAGCTAGATCTTGGTGTCTGATCAAGTTCACAGTTGTCCAGAAGGGAGACAACTATTTTTGGGAGGGTACCTTTTTGATTTTTTGTTTGTTTGGGTGGAGCACATCCTCAAGTTACTTTTTGAGAAAGAGTGCATAGGGGCAATTGGTTTGTCTCTCTGAAAGTGTCTTTATTCTTTTCTCACATCTGATTGATATTTCGATTTGAGATCAAATTCTAGGTTAGAATTTACTTCTCTCAGATGTCAAAGGCGTTTTTCCACTGTCTCCTAGTTTCCATCATTGCTATGGAGGAGTCCCATGCCACTCTGATTCCCAAGCTTTTGAATATTACCTTTTAACAATGGAGAAACCTTTAGGATTCTCTCACTCTTTCATTTGTTCTCTTTTCCCTCCCTCCCTCCCTCCCTCCCTTCCTCCCTTCCTTCCTTCTGATTTTAAATTTCAGAATTATGTGCTTTGGTCTATTTTAATTTGGGGGGCTGCTAATTGGGCCCTTTTAATCTAGAAACTCATGTCTTTCAGTTCTTGGAAATGTTCTTTGTATTATTTATTTGATACTTTTCTATCTTCTGTTTTCTTTTTCTGGAACTTTTAATATTCATCTGTTTTCTCACTTCCTTATTTTACTCTTTTTCATCTTTCTATTTTCTGGAAGATGTCTACTTTATCTTCATCTTACAACCCTTCTATTGATTTCTTTTATGTTTTACTTTAAAATTTTTAAACTTTCTTATTCACTGAATGCAAGTTGAGTATCTTCACCCATATGTGAAAATGCTTAGGACCAAAGGTGTTTTTATTTTTTTTGAGACAGAGCCTCAAGCTATTGCCCTGGGTCGAGTGCTGTGGTGTCACAGCTCACACTAATCTTCAACTCTTGGGCTTAGGTGATTCTCTTGCCTCAGCCTCCCAAGTAGCTGGGATTATAGGTGCCTGCCACAGTGCCCAGTTGTTGTTTGACAGGCCCAGGCTGGATTTGAACCTGCCAAGTCTGGTATGTGTGGCTGGCGCCTTAGCCACTTGAGCTATAGGCGCCAAGCCCAAAGGTGTTTTAGGTTTAGGATTTTTTGGACTTTGGAACATTTGCATTATCGATTCAGGATACCAAATCTGAAAATCCAAAATCTTTAATGCCTTGGTGACCATTTCCTCTGAGTGTCATGTCGACATTGAGAATGTTTTGGTTTTGGAGCATTTCCTATCTTACATTTTCAGATTTGAGATGGCAGACCTGTACTCCTTTTTTTAATCCTATTCTTCTTTCACTGGTACAGTATTTTATCTTTGTGAAGTTATTACTTAAATGGGTTTTATTTTTTTCTTCACCTTGAAATATTTTTGTTTCCTTTGGATTATTATTATTATTTTTTAAGAGACAGAGTTTTACTTTGTCACCCTCATTAGAGTGCTATGGCGTCACAGCTCATAGCAACCTCCAGCTCTTGGACTTAGGTGATTCTCTTGCCTCAGCCTCCCGAGTAGCTGGGACTACATGTGTCCACCACAATGCCTGGCTATTTTTTGTTGCAGTTTGGCCGGGGCCAGGTTCGAACCTGCTACCCTCGGTATGTGGGGCCGGTACCGTACTCACTGAGCCACAGACGCTGCCCTGTGGATTATTTTTTTAAAAAGCATTCAGGGCCAGGTGTGGTAGCTCATGCCTATAATCCTAGTACTCTGGGAGGCCAAGGCAAGAGGATCCTTTGAGCTCAGTAGTTCCAGACCAGCCTGAGCAAGAGTGAGACTCCATCTCTACTAAAAATAAAAAATCAAAATTAGTAGGGTGTTGTGGTGGATGCCTGTAATCCCAGCTACTCAGGAGGCTGAGACAGGAGGATCGCTTGACCCCAAGATTTAGAGGTTGCTGTGAGCAAGGCTGATGCCATGGCACTCTGCCCAGGGCAGTAGAGTGAGGGTCTATTCCCCACAATAATACAATGAGATGAAATTAAATTTCTTTCATGTTAAAGTTTTTCTTAAAGTGTCTTGGCTGTATTTGTCATGTGAGAAGGAGACGGAGATGCCAGTGGGAGGCCTATGGACGTGGGCAGGACCTCACTGCTGAGGAACTGGTTGGGATAGGGCTGTTTTTGGGGAGATCCTAAAATGTCTCTGGGGTCATTTTTCTAAGTGAGTCAGTTTCCCCAGGGAGGACTCCTCTAGTCTTTTCCTGGGACAGTGCAGGTGTGGCCGTAGCATTTAGGCATCCAAACGGGTAGGGGCAGGTGTCCCGACCTTTTGCTTTCTCTGTAAGGTCCCTCTGCCTTGGGCTGTCATCTGTGTCTGATGTTCCTAGGCCAGATCCTTCTGGTTCAGCTTTCCAGAGAGTGACCTTTGGCAGGGAGGTGGCAGTTGCCTGGCCACTCAGGGTTGTGGAAGGGACCCTGAGTCCGGCTGGTTCTCACAGACTTTCAGCCAGCCTTCTGTTTCTAGTCCTCCTGGCCCCCAGGACCCTGGGTTTCCTGGGACTCTAATTCCTGAACCTTTCCTGGTTTGCTCTGGGTGGCTTCTCCCTGCAGGCACTTAGCTGTCATCACTCCACCAAGTCAGCTACTGCTCCCCTCCCCTGCTTTCCAGCCTCCAGAACTTTGTTGACATCTCTCACTTGCTATAATCACTTCTCCCTTACCCTTTGCCCTTGTGGATTTGTGCCTACTTTATTCCTCCGTGTTCACTGTAGTGGGGGTTTGGAAGGGAGCAGAGATAAATCTGTTTGCTCATTGTGCCATGTTTTTCTAAGAATAAAGTTCACTCACTGTGCAGTTTAAGTAGGGACAGACCAGGTCCATTAGGGACAGAAGAGCGAGCAAGGATTCTGGCCCCCTGGTGGGAGGGGGGTTACTGGGGTGGGGAGTGGGATTGGGAGCAGAGAAAGAAGTTTAGTTTGGTGGCTGAGAGCTAGACTCTGGCGCACTCAAGTTCGCGGGCAAGTTGCATTATCTTCTAAGCCTCCAAAGACTGGGGTAATGATATGCCCTCCACAAGCATTAAATGAGCAAGCTTGTGAAATGTTTAGCACAGTACCAACCACGTGGTGAGTATTTGATACATAGTATCTATTATTATTCTCCATAGTTACCAAGTAATATATGCTGGACTTGAACCAGGGAAGAGGTCCTCTGAGGGTGGGGAGAAGGGTGTGTTTCCTCCCCAGAGAGGGGCGGAGAATGAGAGAATGGTTGGAAAGTCAGAATCGGAGCCACCCCCACACAGCCCCAGGGGTTGTTCCCAGCTGCCCCCTCTCAGGGTGCCACCCAGCACCCTGGCTCCAGGACAGACAGACAGATGAGTCTCTGTCTTGATTCAGCTGCTGGAATGTGTGAGGGACTTGGCACAGGGCCTGGGGTGAGGGTGGGGGACAGGGCAAGAACCAGAGCACTGGGGCCTCCCAGAGCCTTGGCACTAGGAAGAAAGTTGTGTGCCCCATCAGTGGAGCTGTGCTTGGGAGGGAGAATTTATCCCCCAGGTCATTTTGTGTCTTCCCCTCTGCATCCTGGGAGTCAAGGAGCAGCATAATCACAGGGCCCGGAAGATGATGGAAGGCAAGGGAATGCCCGAGTGGGCAGAGTGGTACCAGTCTGTCTCACAGCACAGGGTGGGGCAAGAAAGAGAGGACAGGCCCCATCTAAGTGGGCCAGGGGACAGAATGAGTGAGATTTATACAAAGTGCCAAATGTGGGGGTCGGGCGGTGTTTCTGGGGCTCAGGGGAATCTCAGGCAGTCATAGACCCTACCTCACCGGACTGTATACCCCTTGGCTCCCAGCAAATAAACATTTATTGGACTGTGTAGACCCAGACAAGACTGAATGCAAACTCTTAGTCCTGCTATGTCCACAGACACCCGTGCATGGCAGGCCCTGTGTGGGGTACAGTGACAAGGTGGATGGATGTGGTGCCTGTCCTCAAGGCCCTCACCAGCTGGGGGAGAAAGACAGATGATAGCTCGGGATAACTAGCGCTGTGGCAGATAGCCTTTGTGAGTGGGATGTGGCATCAGGTGAAAGCCTCTTGGAGAAGCAGCCCCGGAGCTGCCCTCCACAGGCCTGTGGGGACACCTGCAGAAGAAGGTACTACAGTGGAGGCAGGACCTTCCAGGGGCCAGGAATGTGGGTAGGGTGGAGAATCTTCAGCAGGCAGTAGAGGCCTGGAGGGAAATTTCCAGAGTCAGTCCTAGGAAGTTAGCCTGAAGAACTCCAGGAGCCTTCCTGGGCTGAGACGTACTTTAAGGGAATAGGTCACAGCATTTCCTGAGCCTCAGCTAGGATAGGGGTTGTGGAGGAGAGGCCTTGGCAGCAGGGTGCCTGAAGGAGAGAGACAGGCCCAACTGTGTGTGAGGCCCTGTGGCCCCACTACCTAGTGACTCCGCACTCAGAACCGGGAGTAGTGAGAGAGGAAGGCACTCAGGTCTTTCCTGTAGGAGGTGGGGGGCTCTTTGTGACCTTGAGGTGAGAGTGAGGCTTCCCACCAATCACCTATTGTCTGCTGTGACCTCTGTGGGACCACCCGGCTCCACTATAATCAGCATGAGGAGGGGCAGAGGGGAAAGGCTGACAGGCTTGGGGACCCTGGCGTGTGTTAGCGCATGAGAAACCTGGCAGTACGCCGGCCAGCGGAAGGAAGGGCCGGCTGCTAGCTGCCTGTGTGACTTTTCCCAAGTAGACAGTGCTATTTATATCTTTACTTTGGAATCAGCCTCTGATAGATGAGTAGTTGAATGCCTAGAGAGGATGAAGGGTGGCCCGGGGCTGCAGGTGTCCATAGCTGAGTGGAGAGTGAAATTTGGGTTTCCAGTGTCCCAAGCGTACCTGGCCCTGAGTATGACCCTGATTCTGGCCATAGGTCCTGTGGAACCTATTAGAGTCTTTGTCTCATGCCCCCTCCCTTCTCATGCACGCAGCGTGGGCCTAACAGGTTGTTGTCACTCTAGCTGCCTAGCAACAGGCCTGTAGGCACTGGGTCCAGCCACTAAGCAAAGGATGGTTGTGGGCTGGGGCACATCAGACACCTCACTGTGTGTCGGGAAGCCCACTGGCTGGGTCTGGGTCAGAGGGGTGAGCCTCGGGCCACATCCTTGAGTCACAGTTCACTAGAGGGGAGGAGGAAACCCGGGGCTGGGCTGACCCCACCACCCCCAGTTGATGCTCTGCCCTGGGTCTAGGCTCTGGGAGCCCCAAGCTGTGGGAACACTCTGGACACTCCCTTCTCATCGCCAGACCTCAGCTGGCACACATCTGAACTTATATTTGGGGTGAAGTATTTGAGGTGGGCTCGTGGCTAGAGAGGAGGAGCCCTGTGCTGGGGGCAGCCCAGAGAGTGGACACGATGTGGTGCTGGCAGCCTGTGCCTGGCTTCAGATCCAGGCCATCACTTCCCTTTCATGTGACCTGGGCCAAGTGACTCTGCTGTGGGCCCTGTGTGTGTGTAGCAAAGATACTAATTAGAGTTTTCTGCCTGGGACATTGTGAGGCGCAAATGAGAGGGTACACAGCAAGCCTAGCCTGTGCTCACCCGGGACATAAGGGCTACATCCCGTGTCATTTGCCTACTCTCATGTTAGAGGGATCCATTTCCAGCCAGCACAGGTGGTCCGGCTGATTCCAGGAGGAACCCTTAGACTCAGTCTACCTGGCTTTGTATCCTGCGTCTCTGGGAGCCAGGGGTCTGTCACTGGCTAGGGGATTTTAGAGACCATACAAAACACCCACCCCTCTCCTTGCCTCCCAGCTTCCAGGCTAAAACCTGGAATCTAGGATTCCAGGGCCTGGCACCCCCCCAGCCTGGCCCCATACCTGCTGCCAGCAGCGCTGGCCTTGCTTCCTGACCCCATCACCTTCTCCCCAGCCTCTCTGCACCCTGTGGTATCTCCTCTCCCTGCTAGACACCAGGGATCTGTCCCCCTACCCTCCTTCTCTGTGCTTCCTCTAGCCCTGCCTGCCCTAACCATGAGCATATGCTCATCTTGGCTTGCTGGCCTAGCACCAGCTGCCCTCAGGCCTCCTAGCCTGGTGAACTAGAGGGTTTGTTATGCCCACCCCTGCCCAGCCATGGGCCTCATGTTCCAAAAGTCCTGCCTCCCTTTGTTGCTTCTGTCCATGTCCTTGCTGCCTGGGTCTTCCCCAAATCTTGACTGTCCTCCTGGCTCAATTCTCTATAGCCAGTGCTGCCTCCAGAAGGTCCCCAGACCCTCCAATTCCTTCAGGACAGCAGGGAGTCTTGGGTAGGCTGGTCAGCATGCCAGGGCACTCATACTTCTAGGTGTCACCATAGTGGGGCCTGCCCGGGACCCAGCAAGGATAGCAGGATGGTCCTTGGCCCTGAAGGCAGTTGTGCCTGGGCGCACAGGGCGAGGTGGTGGCAGAACATAGGCCAGGCCCTTTTGCCTCCACACTCCCTGCCTTGTGCCATTGCCTGAGCAGTGTTATCTCACCGCCATGCCAGCCAGAGTTTGTGGTAGATGCAAGCTGTGCCTGCTTGTGTCTGCCCTGCTGCTGCTGCTGCCAGGGATCACTGGCTAGAGGAAGGCAGGAGTAGGCAGTGTGTGGCAGGCAGGGGCCAGCCCCACGGTGGGGGAGGGGTGGGCACAATGGCCCCTAGGCTTTCTCCCAGGGCAGGGAGCTTGTCCTTGCACAGATGGCCCTAGGCCTCTGCCCCGTTAGAGCCGTTAGAAGCTCTCTGTCAAATCAGCTGTGATGTGATGTTCTCCAGACCCTTGTCTGGCCTGGCTCCAAGGTCAGGCTGGTGGTGCAGGAGCTGCAGGGACTCAGAGCGGGGCCATGTGAGGGCCTGGTGGTCTAGGAGGACTTCTGAGAGAAGAGCCCTTGGGCTGCATCTCAAGGAGAGAGGCATCACCAGTGGGGCTAGAGGAGAAGGGTGGGTGAATAGCCTGTGTTCAGCCTGGCACTGGGCTTGGGGACAGCACAGAGGGGGCAAGAGTGCCTGGGAGGGGAGAGGTGGGATGGAGGGTCCGCTGACCCAAGGGGAGCTAGAGTCCTCAACAAGTGCAGGGCTCTGCCATTCTCACCTCACTTGCTCTCCTCGCCACCGAGGCCTCTTGCAGCTTTCACAGACTGTCCCTTCACCATGTCCTTCCATCTGACCTCTCTAGCCGCGGGTGGGGCCTGTGCCTGGACGACCCTCCTGCCAAGGATGTCATTGACTTCCCCGCGGTACCACCTGGTGTCCTCTACGATGTGAGCCACCAGTGTCGCCTTCAATACGGGGCCTACTCTGCCTTCTGTGATGACATGGACGTGAGTGGGCACATCTGGCATGGGGGTATTGGGGACCCAAAGGACAGGAGCCTCAGATCACAGCCCTCACTGGCCTGCAGATGCCAGCCTGGGAAGAGCCCTGCCTGGCCTGGGCTCAGTCCCCATGTGACAACTCAAGACACAAAGTGGCCTGCAGGAGAGGCCCAGGATGGGTGGCAACAGACCCAGGTCTGAATTCTGGGTCAGTCCTTTGCCAACTATGAGACCTGGGGGAAGTCCCTTAACCCTGCTGGCACTGGCCTGCAGAGGGAAGGACAGGCTGTGCTGTGGGTCCTGAGACCTCCTGAAGGAGTCTTCTAATGAGGTCTCTCTAGATGAGTGGGTGGGGCTACTCTGAGCTTCAAACCTGCTCTTCAGGCCCAGCCCAGGGACCCCACAACCCACTTGGTCTTGAAGGGAAGTGGGTGGGAGGGGGGAGTAGACAGAAAATAAGTGGCGGATGGCAGTGCCCAGAGCTCAGTGGTTAGGGCGCCAGCCCCATACACTGAGGCTGGTAGGTTGAAACCCGGCCCAAGCCAGCTAAAGCAATGATGACAACTGCAACAAAAATATAGCCAGGCATTGTGGTGGGTGCCTGTAGTCCCAGCTACTTGGGAGGCTGAGGCCAAAGAATTGCTTAAGCCCAAGAGTTTGAGGTTGTTGTGAGCTGTGACGCCACGGGGCACTCTACTGAGGGCAATATAGTGAGACTTTGTCTGAAAAAAAAAAAGGGAGTAAGTGGGGGCCTTTGGGGGTGCTCATGTCCACAGACCCCTGCCATGTGGGGGGGTGCTCAGAGGACTCTCTTGGGGACAGGGTGGGGACATGGCAGGTGATGGCACTGGGGTGGGGGTGAGCGTGTGGTCCATGCCCTGCTCCTCACAGAATGTCTGCCACACACTCTGGTGCTCAGTGGGGACCACCTGTCACTCCAAGCTGGATGCAGCCGTGGATGGCACCAGGTGCGGGGAGAGCAAGGTAGGGAATGTCCCTAACCCCAGCTGTGGGGATGTCTGTACCTCGGGTCAACCTTATCCTGTGGCCTTGCTTGTGCTGTCAGCAGACCCCAGCTCTATGTGGCCCAAGTCCCCATCTGCAAACTGGAGGCATGCAGGCAGGGCTTGATTCCATGACTCTCTGAGAAGTCTTCAGCTCAGAGTCATGATGTGGGCCTTATCTTATTCCTTGCTCAGCTCCACCAGGTGGCCTAGGACACATGTATTGTGAGGGGGCCTCTCTCACACCTTGGATCCTTCTCTGCGCCTTTTGGGGCCTTCCTGCACACTTCATTCTCACTAGGGTCACTGGTGGTCCAGGGACTGACAGACCTGGGAGTGAGGCTGCTCTACCTCCGTCTGTCTCGGTAGTGGTGTCTCAATGGGGAATGTGTACCTGTGGGCTCCCGGCCCGAGGCTGTGGACGGTGGCTGGTCTGGCTGGAGTGCCTGGTCCGTCTGCTCGCGGAGCTGTGGCGTGGGTGTGCAGAGCGCTGAGCGGCAGTGCACACAGCCTGCGTGAGTGTGGGGCCCTGGGGCACCCAAGGTGTGGGATCAAGGGACTCAAGCAGAGTCAGCCAGTTGTGTGGAGCTTGCTGTGTCCCAGCCCCCAGGTTTTAGGAGTGTCCCTATAATGGCGAAGCCTGGAGGGTCTAGGCCACATTTGATCACTCCCAGGGAGTGTTTTGAAGGCTGATAGGATCTTCCTTGCAGATCTGCGACCACTGAGGTCTAGAGAATGGAAAGACTCATCAGGGGCCACACAACAAAGTAGCAGCTGGAGGGGCAGGAGAAGGCAGTGGTTAGGAGCATAGCCCATGGATGGATCAGGGCTCAAATCCTCTCTTCACCTCTTGGGCAAGGGCCTTCTGCACCCCTTCTCTGGGCCTCAGGTTCCCTATCTGTATAATGGAGCAGTAGCAGTGCCCTCCTGATGAAGTCATCGTCAGGTGTAAATGCAATTGACACAGCAAAGGTGTCTAGCCCTGCACATAGGCCATAGGCAACACACAGCTGGGGCTGCTTAGTGGCATCAGAGTTGCCACATGGGTCTAGGATGAGATTGGGTAGCACTGAACAGGTGGCTGTGTGGCCTGAGGTAAGTGACTTCACTTTTCTGGGCCTCAGTTTCCCCTTCTGAAAGGATTGCTGTGAAGATGCAGTGAATAGCCAGTGGTGCCATGTGCCGGAGGGCTGTCAGCCCCTTTGGCTGAGCCCCTTTTTACTAGGCTGCTTCGGGTACGCACATGGTTCAGAGCCAGCCCACCTGGGGCCTGGTGCTTGGCAAAGACAGTGGCTTCCTCGTCCCTGTCTGCTGGCCTGCAGGTGTGGACTGGGTTGGGCTGGCTGCCCTGGCCTAGGGGAACAGAGAGCTCAGGTACCATGCTCTGGCAGACCTCTTGGCTAGTTGGGGGCCTCCTTTTGACCCAGCTGAAATGCTGTGACCAGCAGTGGGTGTGAGGACTCAAGGGCTCTTTGGGACACTGGGTCTCCTGCCTGGAGACATAGAGAAGCCTCCCAGCCAGTGCCCGTCATGTCCACTGCTTGTCTCAGCAGCCCTCTGCCCAGGCAGTCCCAGCCCCATTTTATAGATGAGGAAACTGAGGCCCAGAGAGTGGCTGAAGGCTTGCCCATGGTTACATAGCAGGTGGCGGGCAGAGGGTGGGCAGCCTGAGGGGTGGGCAGCATGAGCAAGGACTGAGCTGGGACAGGCAGCAGAAGTCTCTGGGTGTGAGGGATACAGGAGGGGGCTGGTCTGGCCACGTGGGAGGCACCCACTGTGCACTCACTGGGCCCCCACTTGGCTCCCCCCACAGGCCCAAGTACAAGGGCAAATACTGCGTGGGTGAGCGGAAACGCTTCCGCCTCTGCAACCTGCAGGCCTGCCCCCCTGGCCGCCCATCCTTCCGCCATGTCCAGTGCAGCCAGTTTGATGCCATGCTCTACAAGGGCCAGCTGCACACATGGGTGCCTGTGGTCAGTGACGGTGAGTTCTGCTGCCCACGGGGGCACTGAGGCTCAGAGGGCTGGTGTAGGTGGGAGACCCAGTCGCCTGGCCCTTGGCTGTTACTGATGTTTGCCAGGGCTGCAGCCTTGTAGAGAGCCACCAGCCCAGCCAGACTGCAGGACTGCTTGGGAGCCTCTGGCCGAGATGTGACATGGAAGGTCTTCAGGTGGCTCCACAACTCCTGCCCTGGCTGTCCCTCATGGCTCTTCATTCTGCCCACAGTGAACCCCTGCGAGCTACACTGCCGGCCCTCAAACGAGTACTTTGCTGAGAAACTGAGGGATGCCGTGGTCGATGGCACACCCTGCTACCAGGGCCAGGCCAGCCGGGACCTCTGCATCAATGGCATCTGCAAGGTGTGCCTGGGTGGGAAGAGGGTCCCGGCACCACTGCCCCAGACCTGCTTGTTCTCCTCTGGTCCCTTCTGGTCTCCCTCTGGCTACCCTTCCCAGGCTGTACCACTGGGCTTTCCAGCCCCCCCCCCCCCCACTCCCATGACATCTAAGGCAAAGCCCCCGCCACTCCTGGCACTGGAGACCTCTCCAGTCGGGGCCTCACACCCTCGCTCCGGCTTCTGCCTCTGCACCATGATCTTCCCACCTCACCCCCGCAGCTGCCCCCAGCTTTTCCCTGCAAACCTGTGCCTGCACAGCCCCACCAGGAACCTTCTGCTGGGCTGCCTAGCCCTGGGCAGCAGTTTTCTTTGGGACAGAAAGGGGTGAAGTGGGGTGGTCCAGGTGACATGCAGGGCCTGAGCTGCAGAGAAGTGCTCAGCATTTGGTAACAATTCCTATTCTTATTTTTAGTGACAGGGTGGCCACTGCTCCCTGCCCACATCCCCAGCTGCCTACTTGCCCCTTTCTTGCTCTCTAAGCCACAGGAGTGTGAGGCCTCTGCTCAGAGGAGCATCAGCAGAGGGTCTTGCACCCAGTGCTTTGGATGTTAAATCCTGTTTCTGCTCAGGAGCCAATGGTGTGCTCGCTCCCCACCCGCCCCCAGCCTTCTGTAAAAATTTCCCCATTTCTTGTCTCATGTTGCTTATGAGACGCTTTTAAGGGATGGATTGATCTCCTTGTGTCACATCTGAGGAAACTGAGGGTCAGAGGACATAGCCATGGCAGGGCAGGGCCCAGGGTGAGGGCTCCTAATGCTTGCTCGGAGATTCTCCTTGCCCTTGGCAGGCCCCTGAGGCTGAGGCAGAGGACTGCAGCCCAGCACGAGGGCCTCCCTCCCTGTGTATTGCAGAATGTGGGCTGCGACTTTGAGATTGACTCCGGCGCCATGGAGGACCGCTGTGGCGTGTGCCATGGCAACGGTTCCACCTGTCACACCGTGAGCGGGACCTTTGAGGAGGCTGAGGGCCTAGGTATGAGGGGGACCACTGCAGGGGAGGGCTGTTCTCTTAACTGGGTGGCCCCTTCCCTGCCTTTCTAAGCCCCCACTCTTGGCCCTGTGGTCCCCACCAGGGCTGGAGATGGCAAACGGAAGCCTCCTTGCATGGTCTGGATTCTTGTAGGAGTCAGGGGTTCCCTGGCCCAGGGGAAGAGATTTGTCTTCATGGGGTGTCCTGCTGTCTTAGGGGCCCCAGGCAGAGCCAGCCAGGCTTGTGTGTCCTGTCCTCTTTCCCCTAGGGGTTTGCTGTCTTCTTAGGACTCTTCAGCAACCCTCTAGCTCTACTCCCTGGGCTCAGGGTCTGTTTTGCACACATTGCCCCAGTTCTGACTGTGTGCTGGGTGATGGGGACATGATGGTGAAGACTTTATAGCCTGGCAGGGTGACAGCCTATTAGTGTGACAAAGGAAGTGGAGGGAGGCCTAGTGGGCTGTGATAGCACTGAGTCAGGGAAGACTTCCTATAGGAGGTGGAGGTTGAGCTGAATCAGAAAGGACTCAGACGATATGGGGAGGGGCATTCCAAACTAGGAAAGAGCTTGTGCCAAAGCCTGGAGGCCAGAAAACATGTGCCCTGTCTGGGCCTTGTAAGGGAGGCAGGGTTGGCTGTGGGGCCTTGACTGCCAAGTCAACAAGCGTAGATTTCATCCTGGAGATACAGTGCAGTGTGGAGACTACGTCATATCCCAGCAGGATGTCTCTGTGCCTGTTTGCTCATCTGTAAAATGGGGCTAACAGTATCCCTGAATTGTGGGTTATTACACATGAGCTGACACACATAACGAGCTTAGTGTGGTGCCAGGTGCCCAAGGGGGCAGGCATTCCACAAAGGGACAAAAGCCGCAGTGCAGGGATGCGGAGCGTGTCCAGAGGCCCAGAACCTTTATTAAGGTTCTGCTCGCCCTGAGTTTGGAGATGGACCCAGCCTTATTACAGTAAGACCAGTTCAGGTCCCCAGGAGAGGGGTAGTGGGGTATGGGCCATGGAGACAGGATTTGGGGACCCTTTGTGAGCTTTTGGTGACCTAAGATAGATTTGAGCGTCTCCGTTTTAGGGGAGCTCAAATAGTGGAATCTGTGGCATCAACAGGTGGGGGCAGGTGAAGAGAGAGGCAAGGGAGGGGGAGGCAGCCGACCCCCTGGCCCGGGACACAGCTGCTGCACTACCCTTGGCCACAGGGTATGTGGATGTGGGGCTGATCCCAGCCGGCGCGCGTGAGATCCGCATCGAGGAGGTAGCCGAGGCTGCCAATTTCCTGGCGCTGCGGAGTGAGGACCCAGATAAGTACTTCCTCAATGGTGGCTGGACTATCCAATGGAATGGGGACTACCAGGTGGCAGGGGCCACTTTCACATACGCACGCATGGGCAACTGGGAGAACCTCACGTCCCCGGGACCCACCAATGAACCTGTCTGGATCCAGGTACTTGCCCCTGAGGCCCAGGTGGGGGGAGCAGAGGTGCAGTCCCCAGACCCAGCCCCCTGGGGCAGGGTGTGACCCTGGAGGGGTGAGCCCTGGGATGGCCCTACTGCTAGAACCTCTGCCCTGGTTTCCTCATCTCTATGCAGCCCTGGGTGTAGTCCCAGTTGCCAGGGTTGTCTGGGATCAGCTGCCTTAGGGTGTTCAGCCTGGGTGGCAGGACTGGGAGGGCTGATGACGAGGCTGCCTGGCGCTCATGGGGTCCTTGCCCTCTGCCCCAGCTGTTGTTCCAGGAGAGCAACCCTGGGGTGCGCTATGAGTACACCATTCACAGGGAGGTCCATGGCCACGGCGAGGCCACACCACCGGAGTTCTCCTGGCACTATGGGCCCTGGACCAAGTGTACGGTCACTTGTGGCACAGGTGAGAAGAGAGGCAGGCACAGTTGCTGCCAGCAAGGGCTTTGTCTCTGAACAGGGATGCTGCTTATCTGCCAGGCCACTGTGGGTTTGGAACTTTGCTTCCCTGAGCCTCAGTTCCCCATCTGTAAAATGGGGCTAGTGATGGTCCTGGCTCATAGGTCCACAGGGAGGGTAGATAGGAGGAGGTACAGTGTGGGCATGTGGCGAGGGCTCAGCTGCTGGTGTCCTCCCCCTCTGTCCTCCCCACACAGTGCTGATGGGTCTCATGTCTGCACTTCTGCTCCACCTTGGACACCTGACCCCTACCCACAAGCTGTAGCAAGAGGGCTCTCCCTGGTGCCCTTGGGAGGCCCAGAGCCTGAGGCACCTCCCGTGCCCTCCCCCCCAGAGGCTTGCAGGGAGGAGGAGGAAGAACAGTGACAAGGCTGTCCCCATCCAACTACAGGTTCAGCCCTGTGACCCTCCCATGCTGAGTTATTCCTTGACCATTTGAGAAAAGTGTATCAACAGTCCTACTCCCTCCCCATAGTGCCCTTAGTCTTCCCAGACCCTTGGTCTTCCCCTGTCCCACAATATTCCCTCATGACCCTGGTCTCCCACTGCCCCGATCTCTTCCCCTGTCGCTGTGTCCCTGTGGCTCCTGCTCCGTCCTTGGGTGTCCACTCATTCCTGATCTCTTCCCTTCTTTCTGGTCTTCCTCCCTGTCTTTAAATTTATAAAGGTCAAAACCAACAACTACCTTTGATGCACCAGAAGTTAGAGGGCTTCTCTTTTAACAAATTGGTAGCTTTGCAGGTGGACCAATTAGGAATGTGTTCAAAGGCAAGTTCTAGAACCTGCCCATGGTGCTGGAGCAGATGAGGGCTGTTTGTCTCAGGAAGTGCGTCCCAGCATGTGCAGTCCATGCTGGTGGGACTGGTGGTGCCTTTAGGGACCTGACCCTCGTGCTCAGCTCATCACCACATCATCCTTCCCTGCTGCTGGGGTGTCCTCCCCGGGCCTGTTGTGATGGTCCACGCAGGGGTAAGAGGAAGAGAAAGGGTCCCCATAAAGGGACTCAGTCCTTTCTCTCTCGGGTTGGGACTGTGTCCCAGATACTGTAGTTGCAAAGGAGCTACAGTGGGGCATGTCATCAGTAGGTCCTCTTACTGCCTGGGACAAAGTCAGAGTTCTGCTGGTGAGGAAGGAGGGGTGTGGATATGGGCTGGGAGCTCAGGGATGTTCTCCCTGAGCAGGAAGGAGGGGCGTGGATGTGGGACTAGAAGCTCAGGCAGAATTCTATGAGCAGAAGGAAGGAGGGGTGTGGATATGCACTGGGAGCTCAGGGAGGTTCTCTCTGAGCAGGAGGAAGGAGGGGTGTGGATATGGGGCTAGAAGCTTGGGGAGAGTTCTAGCAGGGTGCAGAGTGAAGACAGACCCTTCCAGAGGTAGTCTTGCCACTGGGCTTCAACGGGCAATATGGAAGTGATTGTCCCAGGTGAAGGGTTTGTAAAGACCCAGGGGCGGGCCCTGGAAAAGACTGTGAAGGCCAGAAACAGTGATAAGGCTGGGGGGCTGCAGGGCTGCAGAGGAATGGCCACCTGGGTGTCAAGGTTTTTCTCCAGACTTTTTCTGAGTGCATTGCGAGGGGCCTGAACAATAGTGGCCTTGATGCCATGGGTGGGTTTATATGCTCACAGTAGCTGGCACTGAACTTATAGGATATGCCAGGCATAGGCTGAGCCTGCATGGGCACGGCCCCACCATGGTTTTGAGGCAGGTATTACTGTTGCTCCCATTTCACAGATGAGGATACTAAGGTTCAGAGAGGCCATGCTAGCTGCCCAAGGCCTCTCAGCTAGGAAGAGGTGGGTGCCCTAAACCCCACACTCTGCCACCTGCCAGTGGTACCACAGAGGGGAAGATTGTAGGAGGGGTTAGGGGTGAGCCCTGGGAGGGAAGTCAGGAAGAGGAGGAGGCCTGCCTTTATCCTGGCATATGCAGTGAGGCTCTGTTCTGGGAGGGTTCTGGGCAGAGAGGGTGTCTTGGGCAGTGGGTGCCTGGGTCCCAATTCTGCATGCCTATGTCTCCCAGGTGTGCAGAGGCAGAGCGTGTACTGCACAGAGCAGCAGGCAGGGCCTGTGGACGAGGAGCATTGTGACCCCCTGGGCCGGCCAGATGACCGCCAGCGGAAGTGCAGTGAGGAGCCCTGCCCTGCCAGGTGAGTCCCCCACTAGGCCCCTGATTCCTAGGCATCCTGAGCCTGCCACAGGCCCTTGCAGCAGCCAGGCTTCTGGCCTCTTCCCAAGGCTAAATCCCCAGGGCTGGCTGCCCCCCATCCCCAGCTAGGGTCTGGAATGACACTGTGTAGCCAGCACCAGACTGGATACTTCTGGTCACTCTTCTTTGGGTCCCTGGATATGTACATTGGCCTCAGGTCTTACCCACCACCCCTGGGGTAAGGGTGGAAGAATGGAGGAGGTTGTGTGTCATGTCACTAGACTTCAGGGGCGGGCCACTGACATGGGCTTGGGGCTCTGAAGAGCTATATGCTGGATCTGGTCCAGGCTCTGCTTGTACCCTGAGGGCCTGGGTCCTGGCCCTTGCTGTGGGCCTATTAGTGCCACCTGTCTGATGTCACCCGTGTGCCTCCTGCCAGGTGGTGGGCAGGGGAGTGGCAGCCATGCTCCAGCTCCTGTGGGCCTAGGGGCCTCTCCCGCCGGACTGTGCTCTGCATCCGCAGTGTGGGGCTGGATGAACAGAGCGCCCTGGAGCCACGGGCCTGTGAACACCTTCCCCAGCTCCCCACCGAAACCCCTTGCAACCGCCATGTGCCTTGTCCGGCTACTTGGGCCGTGGGGAATTGGTCTCAGGTGAGTGCTAGGGTGGGAGGATCTGGCCCCCCAGCTCCAACCTGGTCTTGGGCTACGGGCAGGCAGACAGCCTTTATGCAGTCATTACTGCCTAGTTCCTAGACCCAGCCCCTGATCCTGAAGCCTCCAGGATCAGGAAGCTCTAGGCAAGTCATGGCCATAAGCCATGGTCTTGAGTTGGGCAGGGCCAGAGAGGGCTGGCTGAAGCCTCTGCTACTCTGCCACGGGGCAGTGGACAGGTTACCCCATCTTGCCCTAGTGTCCCCTGGCAGCCCCCTCCTGGCCTAAGCCCCTCACCCTGGCCTCCTTTGCAGTGCTCAGTGACATGCGGGGTGGGCACTCAGCACCGAAGTGTCCTCTGTGCCAATGACACCGGCGTCCCCTGCGATGAGGCTCAGCAGCCAGCAAGCGAGGCCACCTGCCCTCTGCCACCCTGCCCTCAGCCTTCGGACATGGTGGGCCCTGAAGGCTCGGGGAGCGGCTCCTCCAGTCATGAGCTTTTCAATGAGGTCGACTTCATCCCACACCACCTGGCCCCACGCCCTGTGCCTCCTTCATCCCCTGCGCCAGCCAGCATGGGCAATGCCATCGAGGAGGAGGACCTGGACCTGCCAGGACCTGTGTTTGTTGATGACTTCTACTATGACTACAATTTCATTAACTTCCATGAGGATCTGTCCTATGATCCCTTTGAGGAGCCCCATTTGGTCCCAGTGGGAACAGATAATTGGACGCCTCCACCTGCAGAGCCCCCCATGGCCACCCCCATGCCTGCCACAGAGCCTCCTGTGACTGGGGAGGAAAGAGTGCTTAGATCTCAGTCCCCTGGCCCTTGGCCCAAGCAGGCCAGCCCCACCCTGCCCCCACCTTTGGAGCAGACCCCTGATTCCCCCTTCGTCAATTTCTTGCCTGAGGAAGATACCCCTGTGGGGGCTCCAGACCTTGGACTCCCCAGCTTGCCCTGGCCCCCTGCTTCAGTTCTTGGCATGCTTACACCTGCTGCCCCTGGGGGCCAAGATGAGCTCCTAATAGGGGAGGACAGCCAGAGCCAGCTGCCCCCTCTGTGGCAGGACAGGACCAATGAGGTTTCCAAGGATGATGAGGAACCTGTGGGCCATGGAGTATCCCTCCTGCCCTCAAGACCCAGCCCAACGCTGCCCCCTTTGCCCACCGTTGAACCCAGCCCCTCCTCTCCTAGACCTGATGTTTCAGAGCCGTGGACAGGTGGCACTATGGCCTGGGAGCCAGCTCTGGAGGGTGGTCCAGGGCCTGTGGACAGTGAGCTGTGGCCCACTGTGGCTCCTCTCCTTCCTTCCTCAGCTGCTCTGCCTGAGATTAAGAGTGGGGACAACCCCCCGGGGCTGGGGACTCCCACCTATTCACCCTCAGGACTAGGCTTATGGGACCTACAGACTCTGGCAACCCCAGGGACCTTCCTTGGGAAAACTCTGACTGGCAGAGGGCACATGCCTTGGGTGACTGCCCTGAGCCCAGGACCTTTGGGCCCGGCTGAGTCCCCCAGCCCTGAGGCAACCCTGAGTTCTGGGCTACCATCCAGACCAGATCAGAACAGTATCACCAGCAGCAGCAGAGCCCCTGAGGCCCAGCCCCTGGACCCCAGCCTGGCTAAGGAGGGGTCTCCCATGGACCTGCTACCTGCCAGGAATGCCAGCTGGCAAGTGGGAAACTGGAGCCAGGCAAGTGGTGTAGGTCAGGCGGGCTGTGAGTTTGTGCTGGACTTCAGCAGTTTAACCTCCTCATCTGAAAATGAGCAGAGCAGGACATGGGCCCTGGCCATTCTGTCTCCTGGGGGGCAGGGTACTGGCTGCCCATGAGGGATGGAGGCCTGGTGAGGTGGGAAGAACACTCCCCGGCTCACTATTCTGCCCTCCATAGGCCCCTGGGGCCAGTCTGCCCATCAGGCCTCAGTTTCCCTTCTGAGTAGTGGGGAAGGGGCAGTACAGGGGCTTTCGGGAAGGTAGGGGCAGGCACGCATGAGGTTCAGCCAGGGGGTCCCTAGATTGTCTCTGTGGGAAAACTCAGCCTCTTCTGTTTGGAGGTAGGTGGGGCAGGCTGAGGCCACCAGGGCTGCTTGTGCCTCGGGATTACCCAGCAGTTTGGTGTCTGGGACTACAACCCAGACTTCCTTGCCTACCCCATCTGGGGAGCAATGCCAGGACAGCTGGTGCTGCAGGGTCCCTTCACCCCACCTGTGTTCCTTGTAAGCAGGGACACTTAGTTGCTGGGAGGATTTTACTTTTTATTCTCAGTGTCTTTGGGAGGTGGGTGGAAGAGCCCATTTCACAGATAAGGAATTGAGGCCCTGAAAAAGGGCCCTGGCTTGGCTGGTGGGGAAGGCCTGGAGGGCACGCGGCCCTCACAGCCTCTGTGCCCTGCAGTGCTCCACCACCTGTGGCCTGGGTGCTGCCTGGAGGCCTGTGCGCTGTAGCTCAGGCCGGGATGAGGACTGCACTCCCGCTGGCCGGCCCCAGCCTGCCCGCCGTTGCCACCTGCGGCCCTGTGCCGCCTGGCACCCAGGCAACTGGAGTAAGGTGTGTGCGTGAGGATGGAGCCTGGTGGGCAGCCCTGGGCAGGTGGAGCCCTATGTCCTTGTGACCTGTGTTGCCCATGGCAGGGGATGACTTTGCACTAGATTGTATTTGATTCCTAATCTCTTGGGAATCTTTTCATCTGTTTGGCCTGGTGTCTTTCTCTGCATTTTTTTGCCTGCTCTAGACCTCTTTTTCACCAGCTGTCCTTTGCTTTTCTTTTCCTTTTGTACCATCCTGCCTGCTGCCTGAACTGGTCTCTGCCTAGGCTCTTTAGGGGTTTGCCTGTGTGGGGGAGGGGGGTTGGCCATGTGTGTGTGGCACGTACACGGGGTGTGTTCACACGTGTCCCTTGGTCTGTAAGAGCTGACCATGTGTGGCATGCACACGGAATGTGTCTACATGTGTCCCTTGGTCTGCAGTGCTCCCGCAGCTGTGGTGGAGGCTCCTCAGTGCGGGATGTGCAGTGTGTGGACACACAGGACCTCCGGCCACTGCGGCCCTTCCACTGTCAGCCAGGGCCTGCCAAGCCACCTGCCCGCCGGCGCTGTGGGGCCCAGCCCTGCCTCAGCTGGTACATCTCTTCCTGGAGGGAGGTGAGGCCTGGGGGTCCAGGATAGGGCTAGGGGATGCCCTCAGACTTGGCTGCTCCCTGACCCTTTCCCTGTCCACCCAGTGCTCGGAGGCCTGTGGCGGCGGTGAGCAGCAGCGTCTGGTGACCTGCCCAGAGCCAGGCCTCTGTGAGGAGGCACTGAGGCCCCACAGCACGCAGCCCTGCAACACCCACCCCTGCACACAGTGGGTGGTAGGGCCCTGGGGCCAGGTGAGTTGGGGGTTGCAGGAGAAGTGGTGCCCATCTGGGCCTTAGTGCATTGAAGAAGGGTTCTTTGGCACAGTGTGCACTAGCTCCCTGTGGCCGCTCCAGATACAGTGGTGACCAGATGAGGTCCCACCCTGCTGGTGCTCACGGCCTACCAGGAAGAAACATGGATAAAGAGAAATTGACATGTGATGTGATGTCAGGGAGGGACCAAGGAGGAGGGCACTTGGGGTTGAGGCCTGAAGGAGGGCTCAGTGATGCCAAGAATAGGGACAGATGGGACAACAGGGGCCAAATCCTGAGGCAGGAATGGTGAGGGGCAGAGCGGCTTCAGGTGGGCAGGACACCTTCCTGTTGGGCCTGTTTGTTGCTGAGAGGTTCAGGAATCTCAGATCCGGCCCTGAGCCAGACCCGAGAGTGACTGGGCAGGTTGCTTGGCCTTGCTGGGCCATTACTTTCTCATCTGTAGAATGGGGACAGCTTGGGGTGGGAGTGTTGCAAGGATTAATGAAGTAACACAGTGGAGTAAAGGCTTGGGAAAACATTGACAGATTAAACTTACTTTTAAGGCTTTTTAAAAACATCAGACTCCTAGTTGAAAGAATAAAAACTTCTACCACTTCCCCCGTGTCCCTTGGGCATGATGGGTCCCACCTAAGTCTCTGCCCACTGGTGCATCCAGGTTCCGTCCAGGGCCCCTGCCCAGGCCCATCAGGCATGTCCCGTGTGAGGGGCTTGCAGTTCTGTGACCCTGAGGACTGCCCCTGTCCCTATGCCCACCCCTCTGAAGAAGACCAAGCAGTGAGGGGGGTGGCAGTGCCCAGTGGGCCTTGGGAGCAGGACTGGGCCTTCCATGGAGGCAGAGAGCTGGGGCTGGGAGGCTGGTCAGGCATAGGGCACAAGGACAGCTTCCTAGAGGGGTGGCACTGCCCCTGGGGATGCCTGATTCCCCACAATGGGGGACCTGTGGGACATTCACTCTTCTGCCCACTCTGTGCAGTGCTCAGCCCCCTGTGGTGGTGGTGTCCAGCGGCGCCTGGTCAAGTGTGTCAACACCCAGACAGGGCTGCCTGAAGAAGACAGTGACCAGTGTGGCCATGAGGTCTGGCCTGAGAGCTCCCGGCCGTGTGGCACCGAGGACTGTGAGCTGGTTGAGCCTCCGCGTGAGTGCCCCCTCCCAGGGTTGTGGTGGGTTGGGAAGGTCATGGGGAAGTGGGGAGATGCTGTCGCCCCAGTGGCACTTGCTGGCCCATGTTGTAATCTGAGGCACAGGACACTGTGCAGAAGCTGGGCCTATGTTAGGAGTCAGCAGAGGGGAATGCAGCCACCTGGGTGTCTTGTAGGCAGCTGTCTTTAGCCTTTTGGGAACATAAGGACAGGCCTTGGCCTCTGGTGATTGTGTGACCTTGGGCAAGCTCTGTTCTCCTCTGTCTTAGTGTCCCCATAGTGAAGCTAGAGATGGCCCCAAGGCTGTGTGAGGGCTAGGCCGGGCTAAGACCTCCCCTCCCCCAAGCTCTGACCTATCTGTTCCTGGCCAGAAGAGGATGGCTGGAGGTGAACATTGGAGCTGCAGGAAGGGGCCCCTCCCAGGGTCCTGCTAGTTCCCAGCTGCTGGTGGCTTCCGGGCCAGCTGGGACCTCCTGGCAGAAAGACCTAAGCTGGAGGTCCCCTGGATACCCCCTACACACACACACTTCCTGTGGCCTGGCTACCCCAGCAGTGCTGCGTGCAGGAAACTGCATGGCCCTGGGTCACACCTGGGCTGGCTTTGGGTCACATATCCACTGTGGCCTTGGGCTCCATTTCCTTTTGCACCCCCATTGCCTCCTGTAACCCCCATGGCTGCAGAATCAAGGTCTGTGTAGGACCCAGCACTGCATGGGCACCTCCCTCACAGTCACCACTGTCCCCCATCACACGGCTGGCGTCTTCTAGTCTAGGGTACCCAGCAGCTCAGCACTGTGTGTGAAGAGCCTGTCTCCAGGGCCATCCGCCCCCTGCCCGCCTGCCCGCCCATCCTCTTGCCCTCACAGTGTTCTCTCCTACAGCGGCTCTGGGCAGCACTGGCTCAGGCCCAGAGTGGCCAGTGCCACACCTTGTGCCCCTGCCTCCCATCCTGTTACTTCAAGGCCTAGTGGAAATGCCTCCACCCTGCCCTGGTGCTGGCCCTACTGTTCTTGCCTTCAAGGCTGGGGCTTGGGTAGTTACAGATCCAAGGTGGTTAACACAGGTGGTGACGCCCAGAGCAGGAACTGAGGGTCCCCAGGCCTAGAACAAAGGACAGACCTGGCCAAGAGGCCCCGGGCCTCCAAAGACTCCCAGGGATGGGGGTGGGCTGGGCTACAGGGAGGGCGTGTAGGGAGTTTGGGCAGCACTATGAACTGTCCCCGGTGACAGGATTTCTGCCACTGGTGAATGGTGAAGGGCATCCGGGGAGGGGTCTTGGATCCTGAGGCTCTGGAATTCCCAGAGTGTTTAGATGGTCTGTGGGACTGTGTGGCAGGACACGTGCAAAGCTTGGAAACTCCAGGATGTGTGGTCATCATGGCAGGGCAGCTGACACAGCATCCGCCTGCCCTGGGAGGTGGGGTTATCAACAGGAGGGAGCCGAGGCCTGAGAGGTAAAGTAGCTTATCCCAGGTGGCCCGTGGCACTGAGAGGCAGACTTGGAGCTGTGTAGTTAGGAACTGCCGCCGAAAGGGCTAAAGGAGCCTGCTGCTGTCTCGTGCCCTCTGCAGGGCCCAGGGGATGTCTCAGGCTCAGGGCTGGCTATTCCCCTCCTGTTCCCTGCCCCAGGAGGTCTGCTGGAGTAAGCACGGCAGCTGGGGGCTGTCAGCAGCAGCAGCAGCAGCAGCATCATCAGGAACAAAGCCAGCAGGCTGGCAGCAAGCCATTTCCCCAAATAGACATGGGGCAGGAGGGCCTAGCCAGGCCTCCATCCCTGCCAAGTGGCCTGCAGCCTCCCTCCCTCCCAGCAGACCTGGCTCAGTCCCAGTCCCTGCTGATGGCTTACATGGCCAGGGTCGAGGCCCACTCTGCACAGTCTGGGCTTCAATGCCTACCTAAGTGGCAGCTGGCCTGAGAGATGGGACTCTGTTCTGGACTGCGTTGGTCTGTGACCCAGAAGGCAAGCTGATCATGGCCTACAGAGCCTAGCAGAGCCTGCATTAGAGTAGAGCGAGATGGCAGGGCAGGCTCCTCGTCTTCTCATGGGCATGTGAGGTGGCTGGGGAGGGGTGTCTCCGGGCCTTTTCTACAGAAAAATGAGCCCAGAGGCCCAAGGGGACAGGTTTGCAACTCCCGGTTTAGAAGAGCCCCTCTAGAAACGGAGGGCCTTCTGCCCTTGAGGGGCTGTTGAGGCCTCTATGAGGCTGTGGGGAGCCAGACTCTGGGGCCCTGCATCCCTGTCCCACCTGCCTCTGCCACCCTCGCAGGTTGTGAGCGTGATCGTCTGTCCTTCGGGTTCTGTGAGACCCTGCGCCTCCTGGGCCGCTGCCAGCTGCCCACCGTCCGCACCCAGTGCTGTCGCACGTGCCCCCTGCCTGGACACAGCGCCCCCTCCCGGGGCCATCAGCGGGTCGCCCGCCGTTGACTGGAGCCCCAGGACACACAGACCAACTGCTTGATGCACAGACCTCAGCGCCCACCATGGGCCCCTGTGCCCTAATGGTGCTAATCTCCTCCCGTCCCCCTCAGAAAAGGTATTTTTTTATTCTGACAATTGTGTAACATTTATTATTATTTTACATAAATAAGCATCTACCATTCCAAAGGACAGCTTGGCTCCATCATGGGTTTGGGGAATCTCAAGTTAGAAGCTGCTCCCACTACCCCACCCTGCCCAAAAGGCGGCTGCCCTCACGGTAGGTCAGCAGAGGACCTGACCTGTGAGGGGAAGGAGGGTGCCTAATATGGGCGTGGATGGGCTCAGAAGTCAGGGTGGGCGGCTTCCCAAGGGGAGGCCTGTCTGCAGAGGGCTGGACCATGGGGACAAGGTGTACAGCTTGGCTGATGCTCCTACCATACCCCTGACTTGCTTGGTGCCTCTTGCCCAGGCCCTCCAGTCCTGCCTAGAGCCTCCTACTCTGAGGCCTCTGAGGCCTGTCTTTTCCAGAAACTGAGCCACATGCACCCCCCAAGCACCAAGACCCATCCTGTCACCCATGGGAACTGCTCCCAGAGTGATGGGGCCTAAGGCCCCGTGGGTACCTGTCTGGCCCTGTGCTGTGTTAACGCCTCTGCATGAGGGTGGAGAGGAAGAAGCAGGCTGGCCAGTGCGTCCTTCTGAGCCCCCCATGTGTCCTTTTCCTCATCTCCCTGACTCAAGGTGGTCCCTTCCCTACTGCCAACCCCCGGTACCAGGCTCTTGTTACACTGGCCTATGGTCCAGCCATCTGGTACCTGCCCACCCACAACTCTATACTGCCCATAAAAGCTAGTCTCATGAGGCCAGATTCCAAAACTACAGAGATTTACTGCCTTCTCCAGGCCCAGCCTGCATTGCCCCCTCCCTTTGGCTGAGCCTTAGACTTAGCCCCTTCCTAACTTTTCCTGACCTGTCTGCCTGGAAGGTATTCTGTTTATGCCCACTCTCCAAGCAGGAGGCACTGAGGTTCCGAGAGGGCCCTGCATATTTCTCACATTCTGTTCTCCAGTGTATGACATCCCCAGACTGAAACTTGATGGGGTCCTGGAGGCACACATGGGGCTGGGGTGTGCGCTGGGGGTGAAGGAGGCGCTGAAAACCACTCCCTTGGGACTGAGGCCAAGAAACAGTACAGAGGTAGGACCCAGGACCTGGAGGAGACAGAGGGACTTTGGGTGCTGTGTTAATGGGGTGCTGGTGGGACCACTGCTCCCTAGGTCACACACCCCTCAGTGAAGCATCAGTACACTCTGTTTTCAGATGAGAAGTCCAAGGCTCTGTGAGAGGCAAGTGACTGGTGCATAGGCATGTGCACTGGTGACGAAAGCCCAGTCTAGGCCATGCGCCCCCATCTCCTGTTTGGAGCTCTGGGGTCAGGCTGTCATAAGGCACTCAGAAGTGAGTCACTGGGGGCTTACGTGAGTCCAAGCACCAGCACCCTGAGGGAGGAGGAGCATCAGGCTTTCATCTTGTCTGTGTATGGGGCAGCCCAGCTGGCCCAAGGAGGCCTGGGGACCTGCATGGCAAGTAATGACCACCCAGGTCTTAGTCAAAACCAGCCTCAGCAGCAGCCCCTTACAAATGGGAGCAAAGCCTGTTTATATGCTCCTGACACTTGCTAAGGGGCTGGCACAGTGGCAGAGCCCTGGTGTCCCTGTCCCAGCTCTGCTACTGCTAGCTAATGTACTGTGTGATCTCAGGAAGCCCACGCCTCACTGAATCCATGTCCCTAGAAGAGAAAGCTTACCAGATCCTGGCCTGTTCTGACTGTCTGGGAATCCTGGCTGGACCCTTTCCCCCAGCCCCCCCGTGGGAAGACATTTGGTCTTAATCATCCTGTGTTTTTTTCCAGTGATGGCTGGGGGTGTCCCCAGTGGCAGCTGGGCCTGAGCTGTCAGCCCAGGCAGGAGGCAAACAAGTCCATGACTCAGGCAGGGCATGGCACAGCTGGCGGAAGGGGGGCTGCCTGGGGCTTCTCCAGACGCAGGGAGTCCCTGGCTCCTGGCTCTGCCACTGCAGTGTCCCCAGCCCTCACCTGCAGTTTGGTCCTGGCTCTTGGGGCCTCCCAGGGCTACCAATGCTGACAAAGGCACCCTGTCCCGCCTGCTCCAGCGCAAACCAAGGGCAGGGACACCCAGAAACATTAGGCTGAAAGGACAGAGAGCCACTCCCAAGCCTGCCCCACCCTCTTAGCCCTTGGGTGAGCTCCATCACATAACTGCACTTCAAGGCAGAATATTATGCAAATTAGTTTATTTCTTCCTGTAGTATTACAGTTCCAGAATTTATATTCCAAAAATATGCTAGAAGACCAGCATACACACTGCTGTGATACAGAATATTATTGGCAGTGCCCACCCGGAATACTCCAGTGGCCCAGCAGTGGCAGGACACTTGGTGGTACACCTGGCCTGTGTCCAGCCTCTCACCTGCAAGGACCTCCTGGGGCAGGCCCAGCTGCCCAGAAGCCCAGCAACACACAGGAAGAAAATACTACGAAGCAAGGGTGGGCTTTGTGCAGTAATACAAACATTTAGTTAAAACCCAACTGGGTATTTGTCTAGCTGAAACTAGATGTCTCTAGCAATCAAGTCTTGGCTGCTACTGTACGGCTGTCAGCATGGCCAGAGGTGGCACCCAGGCTACCTGGGGGCAGACCTGGGCCTATGACAAGTCAGTGAAGGCCAAAGCTAGAGCGAAAAGGTGGCATGGGAGGGAAGAGCAGTCTAGAAGGTTTACATAAATACACACAAAATAAGAACTTGTTATATAAAATAGATGTTCAAAATCTAGAAAAACCTTGATAAAATACCCTATAAAAATATAACCTGTAGTGAAAATATACAAAAGTATTAACAGAGGTTCAACCCATGAAAACTCTTATCAATTTAAAAGTTGGCAATTCCTACCAGATATGGCAGAGGAGCTGCCCTGGGCATGTGCCCTTGGGCAAGCAGGCTGCCCTGAGGGGCCACCGGCTAGGCATGGGGCAAAGGTTCAGAGAGCAGCAGGGGGACAGCCCCTGCCAGAAAGGGCACTTGCCAGCACAACTGGAGGAGGTTGTGGGATTTAGGGACTCTGGAGGGGACAGAACAGCTCTTTCTACAGTGGCATTAGCGAAAAGGAAGTGTTCGCTGAAAACGGGGCTGCTCTGGGAGCAATGGGTCCCCAAAGTGGAACCAGGCTGAGCACTCCCTCTCCCACCCTCTGGACAGCTGGCAGAGGGAGCATCCAAGGGGGAAAACCTCCCAGAAAGTATCCCCAGTCCATTTCCTTCAGGACCTCTGCTTTCTCGCAGCCCACTGCCTGACCATGGCGGCCCCCAGCCAGGCGCACCAAACACAGTGGGCCTGTTCCTGAAGGTGGCACCTTAGCATCAGCCCACGGTGTAGGCTAGCATGTCCCTGGCACATCAACTTGGAAACTAAAACCTGAGGCAGGAGGAGCTAAGCCATGGGCTGCCCTACTGCTATACCTCCTTACAGCCTATCCTGCTGACTCACAGCATGGGGGTGGGAAGGGGGCATCCTGCTGCCACCTGGTCCCAGCAGACTACAAAGCCCAGTTCCTAGGACAACCTACTGAAGAAGCTGGGCCTCAAACAGCTGCTCTCAAAGACAAAAACAACAATAAAACACATGTTTGATACCTGAAAAGACACAAAGGCTTTTGGCTAAATATAGAGACCAGCTCCCTCTGAGCAGTGAGAACTTACTAGCTGAACTATAGACAGAAAGTCAGGCTTGGCTAGAACACTGAAATACCCACTTACCATGGCACTGCTAGAAAGTCAACAGCAAGAATAATAAGGAAGCCACACTTAAGGGAAAGGCCCTTCTTAAAACTTCATTGCCTTGATTCTCAGTCTGAGTGTGTTTACATCAAGGACTATTTCTGACTTTCAGGTACTATGAAACATTCCACTTAAGACTTTGAATGACACTGTGCTGGAAAACATTCTCACACCTACACATCAGGGATAGGCCAAAGATTAAGCAAAAACAACCTTGTGAAAGCCTCTCTCCAGGCTTCAAAAAGGTAGTTTCCAGAAATGGCCTGCCCAGCCTGCTGTGTCAGAGGCAACAGTGGACCCCCCTGTTCTTTCTGAGGATAAGGATGCTTCCGGCTGCCATGCCTAGGACATGCCCTAAGCCAAGGAGTTTCCCACCCTAGGCTCTGGCAGCTGCTGATTCCTACACGGCACCAGCACTGCCACCCTGAGGAGGCCAAGGTGCCCGACTGTCCAGGGGTATTCATGCAGCAGCTGCACCTCTGCCATGCAAAGCACCGCTAGTCAAGGCCAGCCAGGGGTGGGCCTGCTCAGCTGCATGATGACCCACTGTTTACTTGGAACCACAACCCATCTAGACTTAGCCCATCTCCACAGAGCCTGGGGAAGACGTGCCAGGTGGCAGAGCATCTAAATGGTCTGCAAACACAGGCCGGCAATGAGAAAGCGGGGGCGGGGTCTGGTCTGCCTAGGCCCCCCCCCCCCCCCGGGCCACTGTTGGAAGGATTGTGTGCAGAAGGATGAAGGCTATTCCAGAAATGGGGCGTGGCTGGCAGCTAGAAGCATTCAGCATGAGGCCTGCAGGCCTGCTATACTGGCCACTTCTGCACAGGGATGTGCTTGTTTCTCTGAGGAAGTCCCTTTTCCATACTGATCTTCTCCACCTGAGACAGCCACGCTCTGGCTGCAGATGTGTGGGCACCCTCCACAGGGCTGCCATTTAAAGGATGCACACAACTGCCCACTGTGGGAAGATGCCTAGCAAGGCTAGTTTTCAAAGGAAAAACATCAATACAATGGATAGATGCCATAAACAAGCTTTTGCAGCCAATTGGTAAGTCTGGTGGGTCACCAGTCAGAGAGCATGACTGCTGCAATTGGTGTACCTGGCACCATGGCACGGAGATGGCTGTGAACAGATCAGATCCTCAACCTGCCCCCGGGGGAGATGAGAAAGTACAGTCTGGCTCTGGCTGTCTGCCCAGCAGATCCCAAGAGCCCATGATGTGACATTCTGGCCTTTAAATGAGTTCATCCTTTGGCACACTTTGGTTGTGAAGGCGAGAAGCACAGCTTCCCAGGATCCCCTCAGGTGTCCTCCTCATCGCTGACCAGCTCGCCTTTGTCAGGGCTGGTGTCACGCTCACGCAGGAAGTCCTCCCGGATGGCCTCCAGCTCTGTCAATTCTAGCCGGACCTTCTCCAAGTGGTAGGTGCGCCGGTTCCGAATCTGGCGCAGGGGGAAGGGGTTCAGATCCCCGAAGGAGATACTGATCAGCTTCCTGGCAGGATGCAGGATAGAGACAAGTATCAGCAGAACTTAGGTGGGTGGGTAATAAACACAGAATAATAAACTGCCCTGAGGCCTTCTTATGACTTTCAAGCCCTAATCAGGTCAGCCACAATGGTCTTGGGAGGTTGTAAGAAAAGCCAGCTTTGCTAACATTGAGAGCCTGGCCTCCTTCCACACTCCAGAGTCTGCTGAGCCCTGAGGCTTTGCCTTCCAGCAACAGTGGCTGATCCGCTTCCTATTGACCAAAGGCCCAGAAAACTTATGAATCCCAGGAAAAGCTGTGATGAAACAGGAATGCCACAAAGTACTTCCTCTCTGTCTCTATCAGAAAGCAAACCAGAATCAACCCAGTGCCCATCAGTCCATGAGTGGATAAAGAAAATGTAGAATACACACCATGCAGGACCACTCAGCCATCAAAAGGAATGAAATAATGTCTTTTGCAGCAATTTGGATGGAACCAGAGACCATAATCCCAAGTGAAGTATCTCAGGAAAAACAAACACCACATGTACTCTCTAATAACTGGAGCTAACTGGCTGGGTGTGGTAGCTTATGCCTGTAATCCTAGCACTTTGGGAGGCAGAGGTGGGTGGATTGCTTGAGTTCAGGAGTTCAAGACCAGCCTGAGCAAGAGCTACACCCAATCTCTAAAAATAGCTGGATGTGTGGCAGGTACCTGTAGTCCCAGATGCTCAGGAGGCTGAGGCAAGAGAATCACTTGAACCCAAGAGTTTGCGGTTGCTGTGAGCCAAGATGCTACAGCACTCTACAGAGGGTAACAGTGAGACTCCATCTCAAAAAACAACATTGAGCTAATCAACAGGCATAGATGGGCACAAAGAGATGTCAAGGTCATCGGAAATCAGAACAGGGGAGGGGTAAAAACTTGCCTGTTGAGTTCAGGGTGAGGGGCATATGAATAGTCCCAACAGCAAAGGCATTATTATCCATGTAACAAAAACATTTGTATCCCCTTAATATTTTGAGATAAAAAATATATTCCAAATAATAATAAAAGCAAAAAACAAAACGGAATGTCTAAAAGGTAAAAAAGCTAGACAACAATGACAACTGCAACGAAAAAATAGCCAGGCATTGTGGCGGGTGCCTGTGGTCCCAGCTACTTGGGAGGCTGAGGCAGGAGAACTGCTGGAGCCCAAGAGTTTAAGGTTGCTGGAGCTGTGATGCCACGGCAATCTACCCAGGGCAACACAGTGAGACTCTGTCTCAAAAAAAAAAAAAAAAAAAGAAAGAAAGAAAGCAAACCATTTGTTCCTGCTTGGGCTACTTTTAACATAAGATACATAATTAAGAGTACACAAGCCTTTGTAGTTCCTCCTTTTATATACTTTAAAACACCTTCTCCTTAGATATGCTTAACTCTGATTCACAGGATTCTCCTATAAGAAGGTAAAAGACCAGAAAGGCTAGTTTTATTTATTTATTTACTTAGACACAGAATCTCACACTGTCACCCTGGCATGATCACAGCTTACTTATAGCCTTCAACTGCTGGACTCAGGTGATCCCCCTTGCCTCTGCCTCCTGAATAGCAGGGACTACAGGCATCTATCACCACACTCAGATAAATTTTCTTGTTTTTTGTAGATGGGGGGCAGGGGGTGTCTCGGCTGATTTTGAACTGGGCTCAGGCAAATCTCCCACTTAGCCTCCCAAAGTGCTGGGATTACAGGCATCAGCCACCTGTCCAGACTAGGTCAGCTTTATTTAAGTGCTAAGTTCTCCAGAGTGCGTTCTAGAACCTGTGAGCATGGGAAAACAGCCACCACTGAGTGTGGGTTTCTCAGGTTCTGCCTCAGGGTTGTCTGGGCTGATCAACTGCCAATATCTCACAGTGAGAGGAAGACCCATGGGATGCAGAACGCTGGTCAGGCTGCCGGCCTGGAGCCCTCATGGCATTTTCTCTCCTACAAGGATTAGCCCATGGGCTTCACTGAAACCTGAAGTGCCCACCCCCTCCTTTACTACAGAAAGTGAACATCAAAACTATTTTCCGGCTCGGCGCCTATAGCTCA